AAGCAGTGGGGGGCCAAACACAGCTAATGAGCTTTCACTAATGTTGATGAAATATGAAACCTCTGCCATGAGCCTTCTCTCCCATGGCATCATGCATGGACGTTTTTTTTTGTTTTTTGTTTTTGTGCAGGAGGACGAATTGGTGAAATGTCAGGACGGAAGCGCTTCAAAAGGACAAGGACAGATGGGGACGGAGGACGATTACTTTATGAATAAGGGCGGAGAGACGACGGAAGAGTGCCCAGGTCGCGTACGGAGAACAGACCAGCAAAATAAAAGTGCCCAGTACTCTCAACTACGCACGGGTAGGCAATGCAAGCAGCTTACCAAAGCTTTTTGGGATGGTCTCCGACATTCAGTTTATCGAAAATACTGTAATCTTTGGACTATAAACCGCTACTTTTGTCACACGCTTTCAACCCTGCGGCTTATTTAATGATGTGGCCTGTTCACAGATTTTTCCAACGGCCGTCAGGGAGCACTCAAGCAGAAAAGGTAACAGTGAGACGCTATCATGTGTCACAGAGAAAACAACCGGCCATGAGAGGGTGCACCTGTATTTTGAGCTGGACTGCAATCCAAAAGCTGTGTGGCTGGGTCTATGACAGATTTGACCGAACAAAAGAAAACCTCCCAAAAGACATTGTCCTGAAAGTTGACATGAAAGTGTGGATAGTAGAAAGCCTAATGAAGGAATGGTTGACCAAGTATTAGGGCAAGTGAGAATTTTTTTCATTTTAAAACAAAGCATTACTCGAACGGGAACGGTGGCTTTCTTTTTTTTTTTTTTTTTTTTAAACCAGCCGTGTGAGTGCTGTTTGACTGCCATAGTGAAAGAAAAGTTAAGGTATGTTATTAAATGTTGAAACCTCTTTCCGTGTACCGTCTTTCTTTGCAAATATATCATGTTACAATATGGGTGCCTGCGGCTTATAGACAGAAGGGGCGTGTGTGTGTACAAAATGGTTTTTCCTTTTAAAATGTAGTGGGTGCGACTTATAATCAGGTGCACTCTATAGTCCGGAAATTACGGTAATGTGATTCTTCGTTTGATTCTGTTTTTCTCGAAACACAAACTGCTGTGTGAGCCTTGTGTGGCTTAAAGAAGTACACCTAATGTCTTGAGGTGCTCATTTTTAGGGGGGAATGGGGGCAAATAGTTCTGAATAATTCCAGAATTGTTGTTTGTTCATTCCTTCCTCAAAGCAGTACAAGTCATTAGTTGTGGTTATCCCGTCATTTTTTTAAAAATAATTTTCACTGACTTGTTTAATTTTGCTTTGTACATTTGTGTATGATGACTATGTAGTGCTCACGTATATTTTTACCACCATCACAGAAGTACATGTGAAACTACACAGTATAAATATAGTTAGGTATTGTTTTAAAACACAGTATAGACTGTATATGTGCACTTTATATACTGTATTTCTATGGTTTGGCAGCAGGGAGCAGTCTCGCTCGTTTAAGAATGGATTTATAGCCTGTGTTCCGACGAGTGGGGAGTCACATATACACCAGCATATGTCTCTCTCTCTCTCTCTCCTTCCTTCCTTCAGATGAGTCATTGGGTGACTTTAGCTGTTGATCAATGCTTTGAAAGCAGGTACAGTATGTGGGTGGTTGGCCTGAGCTGTACATGCAGTGTGAGCATGGAAAGTCCAAGCTGACTGGTTATTTTCCTGATGATTGTTTTAATTTTCAGTGTTAATACACTGAATATCCATGTCCATTGTTATGCTAACAATGTATATCCTAAATCTACTACATGTATCCGTCTGTCTATTTATCGATTATATATTTAGTTAGTAGGAAATGATGAACCTACCAGTCCATTTGTGTGGTTGCACATGTCCCAAAGAGGAATAAGCGCCTGTGTGATTTGGCTGCCGTCTTCAGTCGGTATCTCGTTCTGACGGGTCATGACTGAAGACACAGCCCACCTGTAGAACATCAAAATCAATCCACTGAAAAGAACTGTGTATATTTATTGAAGCTAATAAAAATATATATTTTTAGCTAGGACATTAAACAGGAAGCATATCATGGTTATGAGTGGCCTTAAACGTATTCAGAAGGATTTTGAAGTTGATTCTGAGTTTGACAGGGATCCAATGAAGCTGTTTGAGGAAGGGGGTGATCTGGTGAAAGGAGGGGGTTCTGGTGCTGATCTGGGCTGCAGAATTCTGGACCAGTTGAAGCTTATGGAGGAGTTTGTGATGGGCAACGAAAAGGAGTGAATTGCAATAATCAATATGGGAGGTGACGAGACTGTGGACCAGGAGGGCAGCGGTATCAGGGGTGGGAGAGTGCCGGAGACGATTGATGTTACGTTGGTGGAAATATACGGACCAGGTTATGTTATTAATGTGGGAGTGGAACGACAATGAGCTATCGAGGATGACACCCAGCTTCTTAACCTGAAGGGAGGGGGACACAGTAGAGCTTTCAACAGTGAGGGAGAAATTGTTGGCTTTGAGTTGGGTGGATTTCGTATTTCATGTCCCTTTCTGCGGTCATACCACAGGGGTCGTTACTCTCATTCACAGATCAATTCCGTTCCCAAAAACCTAAAATTACTGTTGACCCAGGAGGACGGTACTTTTTTGTACAAGAAACAATTCTGTCACCACCCCCCCAAAAAAAAAACAACAACAAAAAAACATTTGACAAACATATATGACCCCAATAAGGATTTGCCATCTTTTTTTGGGTGAAACTATTCTTCACGGTTGCCTCTCTGCAAGGTCTGTATATGATTGGAGGAGACTTAAATTGCACCCGGGACCCGATATTAGACAGATCTTCTGAAACAGACAACACACATGCCAAGAGAAGAAAAGTATTAAATAAATATGCACAGAATCTCAGATTATGTTATGAGAGCTAAATATGACACGCTGACAACAGATAAAATAGGGAAATGTTTAGCATGGAAAAAAAAAAAAAAAATACGAAGATTTTATGACCACGGGGGAAAAGCAAGAAAATTATTGGCTTTGAGGATTTAAAAAAAAAACAAAAAAACAAGTGAGTATTGAACAACGTCCTATTCAAGGTGTGCCATTATGCAATTATCTCTATTCTGCAGACAAACAAATCCCTTCTGGAAGAATACTATTATTATATGGCAATGAACACATAAACATGTGGGAGCTTCCTTGAGTACGACATCATGATCGGTTTATAGCTGGCAGAGAAGAGGGCAGGTTTAAATTATGGAAAACTAAAGACTAAAAGAAAAGCATGGTATTAAGGATCTGTAGAATAATGGAGAATCGCTCTCATTCAAGGATCTATCTATCTGAGAAATACCATAATCCGCAAAAACATTTTTAGAAATATCTGCAAGTGAAGAAAGTCCAAGGTAATTGATCGTACAGCGGTACCTCTACTTCCGAAATTAATTGGTTCTGGAAGAAATTTCTTAAGTGGGAAATTTTGCAAGTAGAGAAGCGTTTTCCATGTAAATGCCCTAATCCGTTCCAAGCCCCCCCATAATTCAGACATAAATGTTTTCTCAGGCATTAAAATGCATCAAAATGTGTCACAAATACATGTTACAATTAGATTATTGCACAGTAAATGAGAGTTGTGCAAAATGTAAAAAACAAAGAATAGAGTAAAGAATAAAAACGATGGTCATTTACTTTTTACTGCGTCCTCGTCGTTTTTTTGCCCTCTTTAGTTCATGTTCTCTCCAAGAAGTGGTTTTTGCCTGGTATTTTGGAAAGAACAGATCCAAGGATGTTTGCTTTTGTCGGCTTTTAACAATCCTTCAAAAATATCCAAACATCAGCATAGTGAGGGATCGTCTGATGGGTGAACACTTTTCTGGGTGATTCACATTTACGTAAAACTATCAGAACACCTCATGTCCCGAGGGGCGAATGACGAGGACGCTGCATCGACACATATCTACCTAATTACCTATCTACCTAGATAGACACATACGACAGAGATCCCTCTTAGCCAATGGGATGTCAGGAGGATGCTAGGTAATAGTCAATGGCAGAGCAGCTATAAGTATGTTGCGTTCGGGAAACTCGGAGATGCGAGTAGCAGGGCATTCTATATTTTTTTTTACCTTTCATATCTTGAAATTTCTTTCATAACAAGAGGCAATATTTTCCTTTTGAGGCATTTCTTAACTTGAAAATTTCGTTTGAAGAGACGTTCGTAAGTAGAGGTACCACTGTGCACCTGAATTAACATCAATTGAACAAATGGGGAAACAGGGAAGAGAAAGGCCGGCTGTCCAAATATTACAATTTGGTTCTGTTAAAGTCCAGGGACTCCGCCATCGATAAACTGAATGGAGAAAAGATCTACAGGAAGACATAGAGCACAAGTGTCAATTTCAAAGCCCCGGGGCCAGATCTGGCCCGCTGCATCATTTTATGTGGCCCGTGAAAGCAAATCAACCTGGTTAACTTCCATGACGCTTGCTAAAATCCGTACCAATTCAAATCATCACATGTAATAAATAGGCAAGGGTTTTCTTGTTTTACATTATGACAGAAACTTCAACAACAGGGCAACAAACTACCGTATTTTCCGCACTAAGAGGCGCACCTAAAAGTAGTGATGTGCCCGACTGTGCCGAGGGTCCGATGCATGTGCCGAGTAAACCGGAAGAAAATCTGCGAAGCACGCATCGAGGCATGTGTCGATTGCGCTTGTGGCCACGCCCGATGCCTCGGAACGCGCGCTGCTCCGCCCGAAGCCTCGCGAGATGGGATTCCTACGTCACCGCCAACAAATAGCTTCGCGGGTGAATCGAAATAAATTCGGCGCACCGGGACGACAATGAGCTCACAGGTGACGCTGACACACTCAACTCGCATCTCCAAACCTCAACTCATTCCAATTCGTTTTGCAATGGACGGCTTTGGACACACCCCACCATCCACAACGAATAAGAAGAGAACATCCCCTGTCTGGGATCATTTTGAGCAGATCTCTCCTAAAAAGGTACAAATTATAACCGGTGTGAATATATATTGTAAATTATTGTGACAGCACAGTGCATCCCTCATTATAATGTCTTTCTTCGACTTGCTGATATTTCAAAAGGTGAAGTGTAAACTTTGTTCCAAAGAACTTGGGTACCAAGAGAACACGTCATCTATGTTGAGGCATTATAGGGCCCTGCATGAAAATAAGGAGACAACTCAAACAGAACCACCCCCAGGTAAGGCATTTTAACATGCAATGAAAGAACAGCACAGCCTACCATGTGTATTTCAAATGTGACAGATGAAATGAATGACATCTATCACTAACTCTGTCTCTGTTAAACTGCAGTGAATAAGAATGCAGTGGAAGAGGCATTAATCAATATGGTGATTGAAGATTGCCAGCCCTTCAGTTTTGTGGAGGACACAGGGTTCAGGAAGCTTATCCAAGCTTTCGACCCTACATATGTGCTCCCCACCAGGCGGGTGTGTGAGAGCACATGAATCATTTTTCCCCATTCCCCCATAAGTGCGCTTCCAATAGTGTTCTTTCTCATTTCCTTTAGACTTTGAAAGCCATGGTGGAGGAGAGGTACCAGCAGGCAAAAGAGAAGGCCCAAGACCTCATAGCAAAGTCCTCTGCTGTGAGCATAACAGCAGATATGTGGACCAGCATCAACACAGATGCATATCTGGCAGTCACCTGTCATTTCATTGATGAGCACACCTCTCTGCACTCAGCTGTGTTAGGTGTGCTCCATTTCCCTGACCACCATACAGCTGAGAACATGGCTTCCGTTCAATCGGCACTCATGGCACAATGGGGCATTTCCACCAAGGTAACTTGCCTTGTGACAGATGGTGCAGCCAACATGGCTGCATGTGCCAGAGACCTTCATCTGCGCCACACATATCTGATCGTGAAGAAGGCTCTGGCAGAAAACACTGAGCTGTCTGAGATCCGTCTTCAGTGTAGGAGGATAGTTGGCTACTTCAAAAGCAGTACCACTGCAAAGGTGAATTCCTTTATTACACAGCAGTATTCAAATTAATGCAAAATGACTTGAATAATGTTTTGTTTCATATTTAATTTTTATAGACAAGGCTGACACAGGTGCAGGAGCAAATGATGCCTACAGAGCCTGTGCTGAAGCTCATTCAAGAGGTAAGTTGACATCCATAACTGCTTCCACTCCCCTTTCAAACAATAATGACCTTTTATTTTCAGGTGGAGACACGCTGGAACAGCACCTTCCACATGTTGCAACGGATGTACAACCTCAGGGAAGCCGTAGGAGCAGCCCTGGCAGGCCTCCACACTGACATTGCCCCACTCACATCCCATCAGTTGAGGCTCATTTCTGAGAGTCTGCAGGTGCTGTCCCCATTTAATGATGCCACCGTAGAGCTCTCAGAGGAGAAGAGAGTGTCTGGATCCAAGGTCATACCACTTCTGGCCATGCTGCACCACACCTTGGAGGATGACATAGGAACCATAAAAATGGAGGAGAGCAAAGCAATGGCTGAGGGCCTTAAAAAACAACTGAGGGACAAGCTCTACACCCTCCAAACCATGAGCATCATGTCACTGGCAACACTGCTGGATCCCAGGTTTTTATCAGTTGTCTGTTTTTCTCATCTGTCTACTAGCACCAACAAATGAGCAAGTGCCGCTTGTTGAACAGTTCACAACTGCAATGAGTCTCATTGTCATTTGCAGGTTCAAAAAGATAGGCTTCTTTAGCCAAAATAAAGCACAAGAGGCTGAGAGGAGGCTCACAGCTGAATGTGCGACAGTGATCCGGCCCAGGGCATCTTCCTCCTCCTCCTCCTTCTCCTCCTCCTCCAACCCATCATTTTCAACACAACCGGACACATCAGAAGCTTCCCAGCCTGTTGCGCAAAGTAATATTCGATACATTCTAATGGTGTTAATTAAGCAACAGTAAATGAGCGGCAGTGCATTATTGTGGGATTCTTTTACTCCCATCTCTACGATGGGCAGCCGAACTGCCTGTTGGCTGTTAGTCTGTTTGTTGTGTCTTAGGTGACAAACTGTGGCGGCGACTGGACCACTATTTTCAAAAGCAGGAGAAATCCTATCGAAGAAAAGAAACCGTTTAAAGCCAAACACTTTGGAAATGCTTGTTTTCCTCAATAAAAATGAATGTAAGGTGTATCTTGTTCCTTGTTTATGTCAATGTCTAAAATAAAGCAATCATTCTTTCAAGTAACACACGCACATTCATTCACATCACAACTCCCTGCCCTTTTGACCCCATCAATCCATGGTATTTTAATCACTGTCTGTCATGACATTTATTTTCCACATGATGGCGCAATAGAACAAATGAAGCCTCATGATGCTTTGGCCCAGGAACGAACCAGTTGGATGGAAAGCCTCATTGCTTCATGAGGCTTCAGTTTCCCATCACGACCTAAAAGCCTTCCATTTTCTTAAAAGCTCACAGCACGCCTTAAAATCTGATGCGCCTTGTGTATGGTCATTACGGTAATATGTCAACCCCAAAATGGCTCCTTGCTGGAAACATGCTTACAACGCAGAGTTCAAACTTAACGCGATCGGGTTACGCAGTTGAACACGGAAATAGAGCAGTGGGGTGGGCAAACTACGGCCCGCGGGCCAGATCCGGCCCGTTGGGCTTTTTAATCTGACCTGCCGAAGATCTGTTCAGAATACAGTACAAGGTTTGATGTGAATTCTGCAATTTATTTCATTTTGACTTGCAATGACGGGAGTTCAACAGCAGGTGGCGCTGTGACTTGATTTTGCAGTGCCCGTACCCCGAAAGAATGAGCGAGAGAGAGAGAGAGAGAGAGAGAGAGAGAGAGAGAGAGAGAGAGAGAGAGCACGCGCACTCAAGAGAGCGAGCCATTTCCAATTCAGTAATCGTTCTACTTCTACTGGTTAGATCGCAAGCCATCTGCAGCAATGTCAAAGAAAAGCCGACAGTGATTGCCGGGTGTTTAAGAAGGAATGGACGCCTAAATACTTTTTTACCGAAGTCCGATCCAAGGCTGTATGTCTTATATGCCAAGAAAAGGTTGCGGTTTTAAAAGAATACAACATCAGCTGTCACTTTTCCACCAAGCATGCCAATTACGCCAGCAACCTTTCAACACAGGAACGTACAGCTACCGCTGACAGGTTGCTAGCAAGTTTGCAGGCTCAACAAAACACCTTTATTCGATCAACTTCCATCCAAGAAGCAAGCACGATGACAAGTTTTTTACTGGCATTCAAACTAGCAAGAGCCAGCAAGCCTTTCTCCGAAGGGGAGTTTCTTAAAGAGTGCATGTTAGACAGCAAGTATTTTATGTCCTGGGAGCAAGAACAAATTTGAAAAAATTATCTTATCACGCAGGTCAGTGACTCGCCGGATTGAAGTAATTGATGAACACTTAACGAGCAAGCTAAACAAAGAAGCGGAGAGATTTTCATTATATTATTTGGCACTGGACGAAAGCAAAGATGTTAAGGACACCGCTCAGATCTTAATTTTTATCAGAGGGATTAATGAGAATTTCGAGATTACGGAGGAGTTTTTGGATATGGAATCCCTGAAAGGAAAAACACGAGGAGAGGATTTATTTAACAGCGTGTCAGCGGTCATACAGAGGCACAAGTTACCTTGGAGAATGCTCACCAACGTTACCACAGACGGATCACCGAATCTGACAGGAAAAAATATCGGGATGCTGAAGAGAATTCAGGACAGGGTGAAAGAGGACAACCCTGAGCAGGAGGTAATTTTCCTACACTGCATAATTCACCAGGAAGCACTGTGTAAATCCATGCTGCAGCTTGACCACGTAGTGAAGCCAGTTGTGAAACGTCAATTTTATTCGAGCGAGGGGACTTCAACTTTGTCACTTTATCCATTTTGTTGAAGAAGCTGACGCTGATCGCACGGACTTATTCTACCATTCTAATGCCCGCTGGTTAAGTTTGGGGAAAGTATGTCAACGTGTGTGGGAGCTCAAACGGGAGACTATTTCATTTTTAGAGCAATTTGAGAACAGTGACAAGTTTCCTGAGCTGAATGACACAGATTGGCTTTGTGATTTTGCTTTTGCTGTGGACCTACTGACACATATGAACGAACTGAATATGAAGCTCCAAGGGAAAAACCAGTTTGTGCATGAAATGCAAGCAAACGTCAAAGCCTTCAAAAGCAAGCTGATTTTATTTTTGAAGCAAATGTCAGCCAAGTCATTTGCTCATTTCCCCACACTGGCTATGTTAAAGGAGGCCCCACAACATGTGAAAAAATATAGAAAATCACTGGATGACCTGCATGAGGAATTCTGCCGTCGCTTTTGTGATTTTGGAAAAATTGACAGCACTTCAGCTGGTGTCATGTCCCTTCTCACAAGACCCGGAAACAGTGCCACAGGAGTTGCAGTTGGAACTGATAGATCTCCAATGTGACATGATGTTAAAGGACAAGTTCCACTCCCTGAAACTGGATGAGTTTTATGCTTCGTTAAGTGCAGCCAAATTTCCAAACATCCAGAAGATGGCACGGAGAATGCTGGTGTTGTTTGGCTCGACATATGTGTGTGAACAGACTTTTAGTGTGATGAACACCAACAAAGCACCCCACAGATCCCAGATGAGTGATGAACACCTCAGATCTGTTCTGAGAATTGCGACAACACGATTACGACCAGACTTTGATGCACTGGCTAAAATGGGTGAGCAACAACACTGCTCCCATTAAAAAGTATGTTAATACTTTAATGCTTTTGTTCTGTTTTAAGGTTTTTAGTCTTCGAGAGCTAACTATGGCCATCGAGGACTACGAAGCGCCCCGTGGCTGGCTTAAAAGTTCATTGCATGCCAGGAAGTATTTGTTATTGTTAGATTCAGACGAGGATGGACGTTGCATTGCTAAAATGGCTACAAAACGGACCTTTTGATGTCAAGCAGCTAAGACAAGAAGAGCTCTGATGCTGGAAGAGAGGGTAAAAGTGATCAAAATGAAAGACGGAGCAAGCAAAATAAAATACATTTTCCAAGAAATTGATGTAAGTGAAAGTGAATGCTGATCGTAAATTTCGCAATTTCTTTCCCTTTTTTTCTTTCTACACTGACAATATGAAGTGTCAAATAAGTGTGTGCTCATACTTATGTACTATTGGAATAAAAATAGAGTACACAAACGTTTGTGTGTGCGTGTACACATACGTTTGTGTGTGTGGGTGTGTGTGTGCTTACATCTGAGATCAAATTTGCTACAGTGAAAAACCCCCTGTTGTGAAAAATTTCTTGCTGCAAACATGATTTCGTTGTAGAGGAGTTTCACTGTATGAAGCTCCAAGGGAAAAAACAGTTTGTGCATGAAATGCAAGCAAACGTCAAAGCCTTCAAAAGCAAGCTGATTTTATTTTCAAAGCAAATGTCAGCCAAGTCATTTGCTCAATTCCCCACACTGGCTACGTTAAAGGAGGCCCCACAACATGTGAAAAAATATAGAAAATCACTGGATGACCTGCATGAGGAATTCTGCCGTCGCTTTTGTGATTTTGGAAAAATTGACAGGGCACTTCAGCTGGTGTCATGTCCCTTCTCACAAGACCCGGAAACAGTGCCACAGGAGTTGCAGTTGGAACTGATAGATCTCCAATGTGACATGATGTTAAAGGACAAGTTCCACTCCCTGAAACTGGATGAGTTTTATGCTTCGTTAAGTGCAGCCAAATTTCCAAACATCCAGAAGATGGCACGGAGAATGCTGGTGTTGTTTGGCTCGACGTGTGTGTTAACAGACTTTTAGTGTGATGAACACCAACAAAGCACCCCACAGATCCCAGATGAGTGATGAACACCTCAGATCTGTTCTGAGAATTGCGACAACACGATTACGACCAGACTTTGATGCACTGGCTAAAATGGGTGAGCAACAACACTGCTCCCATTAAAAAGTATGTTAATACTTCAATGCTTTTGTTCTGTTTATGTTTAATATGTTCTGATATGTTAATAAATCTATCTTGTGCTGACCCGGCCCGTCTATCAAATTTTAAAAGTCAATGTGGCCCCTGAGCCAAAAGTTTGCCCACCCCTGGGCAAGAGAGTTCAGTGTTAACGAGTCAATGTTATAACTTGCTGTTGGTTAAGTGAACTGTGTCGCTACTTTATTAAATAAGTTTTACTGACATCTGATCGTTCTGTAGCAACGCCACTCAACAGCTAAGCTTAGCTGTTGTCGTTTGTTCAAAGCTTCTTTGATCTGTGACGTGGTTGTGTCGGCGCTGATTCGTTGAACCACGTGCGCACGTGCTCGCGCGCACACAGCAGAGAGCAGCGGACTATGGACTGCTGAGGCGCGCTTCACTGAGTGGCGTTGCTACAGTTCTGTTGGCATTTCCTTGAGCGTAGCTCCATCTAGTGGATGCATTGTAGATTGCGTCTTATAGTGCGGTACGTCCAATATATGAAAAAAATTACAAAATATTCATTGAAGGTGCACCTCATAGTCCAGTGCGCCTTTTAGTGTGGAAAATACGGTACTCTGCTTGACTTTTGGTTTCAAAATTAGTTATCTATTAGTGATGTAATTTATAGGTAATACAGTAAATATTCCCATCCCCGGAATTCTATGAAAAGGAATTTCCTTCACCCGGAACAAAAACCTGTGCATTAACATTTTGACTACGATATTACATGTTACCGGAACTTACGTAAGCGGAAATTCCACTACCCGTAACCCTGAATGATTTTAACTTTATTCACTTAACGTCCTGTAGAACGCGGCACTAGCTTAAAAGCAGCACCCACTCGACACGA